CTATTTTTTGGTTAAAGATCATTATTTTGTTTAATATCATAACAATTTAAAGCTTGCATGATTCAAATGCAATTTTATGCCCTTTTTCTCTAACCATTTCTAATGTCGCCCGGGGACAGTTGACATTCAACAATTTTATGTCGTTTCTCTATTGGGTTACTGACACCACATTGGAAAGCATTCATTTGCGTGATTAGGGTTAGGGTACCATACACAATTTATATTAAGGATAAACAGGTATTCACCAGTGGGATTAGGGTTAGCCTCGCCTACATCATAGAGATTAGGGTTAGCCTCGCATTCATCAGTGGGATTAGGGTTAGCCTCGCCTACACCATAGAGATTAGGGTTAGCCTCGCATTTATCAATGGGATTAGGGTTAACCTCGCATACACCATATAGATTAGGGTTAGCATCGCATTCATCAGTGGGATTAGGGTTAGTCTATGAATTAGAGTTGGGTGTTAGTCTCACACAAATCATTGTGATTAGAGTTAGTTTTTATCACACCATAAACTTTACTGTTGGTCTCGCATACACCAGAGGGATTGTAGTAAATCTCGCATATACAAGATGAAATATGATTATTCTTTCTTACACGATTTAGTGTCAACTGTCAACCGTCGACCTGTCCCTGGTCGACATTAAAACAGGATACATAAAGTGTCAACTGTCAACATGTCCCCGGTCGACAGTAAAATAGGCTACATAGAGTGTCAACCGTCGACCTGTCCCCGGTTGACACTAGAACATATGAAAAGTGTCAACCGTCGACCGGTCGACAGTAGAACAGGATAAATAGAGTGTCAACTGTCAAACGTCGATCCCGGGTCGACACTAGAACAAATGGAAAGTGTCAACCGTCGACCTGTCCCTGGTCGACACTAAAACATATGGAAAGTGTCAACTTTCAACCGTCGACCTGTCCCCGGTCGACACTAGAACGTACGGAGAGTGTCAACTGTCGACCTGTCCCCTGTCGACAATAGAACGGGATACATAGAGTGTCAACTGTCAACCGCTGACCTGTCCCCGGTCGACACTAGAACATATATAGAGTGTCAACTGTCAACCGTCGACCTGTCCCCGGTCGACACTAGAACGTACGGAGAGTGTCAGCTGTCGACCTGTCCCCTGTCGACAATAGAACGGGATACATAGAGTGTCAACTGTCAACCGTCAACCTGTCCCCGGTCGTATGTATGGAAATTTAGAAATAATTAATTCTGTAAAATTACTATACATTGATGTATGAATACGTTTATATTGGTTTTAGTAAAAGGACTACTTTATCCTTATATTGGAGTTAAGCCAATAATACTAATAAAACTCCGAATTTGTCACACAATAAGAATTTTTTTTGTAAAAAGACTTATTTCCAGTGCACAATGAATTACAAAATTACTTCCCATTTTTACAATATTAGAATCTTGCTTAAATGCACTTCCCATGCACACGAAAAATAACAATTTCACCAACTTTTGCACACTATTAGAATCTTGTCGTCAATAAAATATCCTGTACTTATCCTATGTTTTTTACAGAAATGTTTCCGGTCTTAAATTTTGAAAGCATCACTTTTTGAAAAGCTTAGAAGTACAACTTTACCCTAATCAATAGACTGTTCAGTTCCTGGATATTATTTCATGGGTCAGTTATCTGGAAATCCTCTCAACTTATTCGCATTTCATCTCTCTTCTCATACTTTTCCAGCCTGCTTCCAAAACAGTTTAATAAATTGACAGCAAATCTTTTTCTTCGACATCGTTTTCTTGCATATCTTCACATTGAATATTGTTAATGTAGGTTCCGAATAACGCGGATAATTTTTTATCTGTTTTAGCACTATTAGAAGTATCGTTCGATTGAAACTGCATAAGACTCCAACACTTTTCCTCAACAAAATTAATCTTCATCTTATATGTAATGATAATCCAGGTCGAAAGTATTCAAAACACTATCTGAACCTCTCAAAATTTACTTTATTTTAAAAAAAAATCTTTGTCTGATTCCATGACTGCTCAGTACAATGCAAAGGTTTGAAACGATATAAGCACCAGATTCTTGCTCAGTAATCCACGAATAACAGGGTAAAATGGTTTGTATTGTGCCATTATTGTTGGATATGTAAATGGACTAGATCCTATTGTATAACAACAGAGTTGGATGTATGAATGGATAAATTTTTCTTTCGGGTCCAAAGCATGGAATTTTTAAATGTAAGATAAATAACTCAATATTGATGAACATCCCCCTCATTGGCATTCGGTCCCTCTAAGGGACTGGGTTTTTTTTATTTAATTATTCAACACAATCTCGTTATTTATCCGTTATATAGGCATTAAGCTCTATTGAATGTTTCATTTCCGTAGGATATGAAAATAATATGAAGTAAGTTTTGTTCTTACTATATTTTAACGAACGTTTTCGATCACCATTTCTTCTATCTTCTGCAATGTCAAGACCACCATCATTGTCTGTCCATACTTTGTCTACAACGTTAACATGTACAAGATTTAGATCAAAATAAGAATATGCATAGAACTAAATCAAAGGAATTGCTGACTCGTGACGTCAATGTTATATTTTCCGTATAGCAAAACCTTGCGATTGCGGAGCCCACACAAGGATGTATAGAAACAAACTTCCTGTGAATAAATCAGTATTGATGCATCGTGAATTGTTGCATTTTCCTAAGGAAAACACAATGACAGAGAGCCAGCTTTCACTTATTAAAGCTACCTTAGACGAAATGATCTCGGTTTACTACATTGGAGGTAAAAACTTATAGCTGCAATCGTTTAATGCAGATAGCTGACCATGACGTGACAGGTTCAAAGCTGTATGCTATTTTACGGTGAAATAATGAAAATGGAGATAACGAACAGTATTCAAGCTCAAAGTCCATTAAAACAATACAAATCGGGAGGAGAGCAAACACGGACCTCCAAGAAAGATCAGAGGTGGGATCAGGTGCCATGGAGGAGTGAGCATCCCCTGCCGACCTGTCACACCCGCCGTGTGTTCCTTGTCATGATCGGTATTACTCAATATATCTTGTTTCTTATTTTACAAAATAATGACATAAATTTAACATCAATATTCATTAAAAAAAAAGATCAATTTCAGATCTAAGCTAAACATTTATATAAATAAATAGGGAATTCATGGTGTAAACATTGTAAACTAGTGTTTAGATTACTAACTGTACAAAAGAAGATATCCCGTTGACGAACATTTATGTCTCATTTTTTTTTAATTTAGGTATACTGAATTATAAGTGTTTAATTCAATGTTTCAGAGTATTTTTTCTTTTCTCACAGATTTTTTTGATTGAATCTGTCTGCATTTTGGATGACATAAAACCCTATGGAAAACGTTGATGACATGTACATATAGCATACCATGTATCATCTGGTTTAAGTTATTTGAGGAAAAAATGGCATTCCGATTATCCTGGCATCCAGAATTCACTAGGTTGTGATTTGATGGAACAATGATTGGTTGATTCATAACTGAGTGACAAATAAACTGAGTAACAAATTTTTGTCAAAAGTTTTTGTGTTACCTCGACTTATCTCTTCTGGTTTACTATTGATATCAGCCTTTATAACACTATGCTCTCTCTCCTCTGGTTCACTATTGATGTCAGCCTTTAAAAATCCCAAAAATTTTCCTTCTGGTTTACTATTTACACCTGCTTTTGTGTCACCATGGGTTCTCTTCTCTAGTTTACTTTCAACACCAGTTTCTGTGACTCCATGGTTTTTCTCCTCTGGTTCCCTACTGCAACCATTGTCTGTGCCATCATAAACTTTCTCCTTTAGTTCACTTTTAACACTAGTCTCTGTGAAAACACGCTCCCTCTCCTCTAGTTCTCCTGTTTCCAGTATCATAACTCTTGCTAAATGAAATGAATAATATTTTTTCATATTTATTTTCAATTTGAGAAAAAAATTTCGTTTTCAATTGACTAATGTACAAATAAGTGAATTGCTTTATTAATGCCTTATAGAGATGCTATGGTATTTTGTACTCATTGAATTTATTAATTCACAAGACAGGTAACAATCAATAGAAGTGAAATATTTTCTACATTATAATTTAGTAAAAATATAGATTTAATACACAAATATGATTTGTAATACTCATTCTTACCATCATTTTCAGTATCATTAGTTGGCAGCAATGGAGTACTACAAGTACATTCATTAACAGTACTGGTACATCTTTTATATGAGTCACTTTCAGAGCCACTTTCCCTTTTTCCAGCAAAACAATCTCTCTCTAAAATAAATATACTAGAATCTTATTTGAATAACATGTTGTTTTAAAAACACAGTACGCTATATTTAAAACAAAGTTATATTATGTAATGTGTCCTTCCTGGCAGTTCTTTTAAAGGTTTACATAAAAAAATTAAAGTAATCAAAGCTTTATTAATCAGGCCTTTCACAATACATTTCAGAGTATTACCGATCAGTTTGTTTTTATCAATAGGTGGATAAGAATAAGGGAGACACTAACCAGAATGATAAATCAAGATATCATTAATCCTTTCTAATATATCTTTTGTCAAATATCAACAAATAATAATATTATATGATTGATAATCCCTAGCCCTCTCATTAACTGAGATCAAATATTGTAGAAAAAATTCTACATTATGTGGACATAAGAATCTATTTTGTCTACACTGTTTTAAAAATAGATCGGGAAATTTCAAATTGATGCAAATAATTTTGGAAAGTTATTCACTTGCACCCGACTTCCAATCAGGTGAACATAGCATTTAGGCTCAAAGAATCGAAAAGGGTGTGGGTAGGTTGTGTGGGGATTTCATTGGGCTCTCATTTAATTCATATCATTTAATAATTGAATCATAAAACCCTTTGGGCTCGGTGAATTTTGTACTTCGAAGGTTGCTAAATCATCGAATTGACCCTAAAAAATGAGCAATAATTGTATAAAATTGTTACATATTTACTACATTATAACATTCAAATAAAGCAATGTATACCTGGATCTGATTCTTTAGTATTGCTTTTCCTCCTTCGTTTTCTTCTCCACAGAACTCCTAGGAACAGGAGGACGATGAGGATGATCACCCCAGGAGACAGCCCTCCTACTATTGCACCAACATCGGCGGTTTCGTACTCCTGGATTGTGGTTGTTTGATTATTTATTTCCGTAGTGTTGTACACGCCAAGGTCTAAGCTTATTTCAGTTGTAAATACTCCTGATCCGTAAAAAATATTCTGTGTTCTGTTTGAAAAATTTAATTGATCATGTAATGTTTACCTCATACATCCATGTAAAAGCACATTTGATAAATATATATCCTTCACTTACGTTACTGAACAGGAGGGGTCGGCAAGATAGCAGTGGTCCTGTGTGTTAATTCGTTGACATGCAGGATCTAAATCAATTAATTATGAAGATGGAATATTCGTACAGTAATTAAGTGTTAGGCTGTCATCAAAATATAATACAGATAAAGTTATTTTTGTTCTTACAGTTGTAATTTTCATTGCTTCTGAAAGCATCATCTGGACAGCCTGCTAAAAACCTCGAGCAGTCACTTGGAAACAGTTTTCCTTCGGCTGTCTCCAAACAGTATCCTAAAACGTATGACGAATTTTGTAAATGATGAAGACTTCTGCAAATGTAACAATAAGGTATGAATGTTTCTATTTTACTTGGGTTTTTGTCCTTGATACATGTCTTTGGTAAGTCGTAGGGATGTCAAATCGGTCAATTTTTGATATTCGGTTACTCGGACGTTTTTCCGATCGAGTACCCTGGTACTCGGTAAAAATGAAAATACAAGACAGTGTGTTAATTTTCTTGAGCCCGGTTAAGCTCTCTTAATTCCCAAAGTTGTTTTAACACGTTTATAAATGTATATAAACAACCGAGTCAAAGGGAAATGATATTTTAGTACCAAATTTATTCATCAAATAAACTCAAAAGACACAATTAATTCATAAAAAAAATAATAGTTTACAGTTCTTGTTTAGGACCTATTTCATCAACGCAAAAGGACAATCTGTTCCGCAGTTTTGTGATGTTAGACAAACGAAAGAGAAGAGAAAGACGTTGTTGGGATCGCTAATCTAATATTATCAATTTCATAATTTGGTTGTTTCCCACTAAACCTACTAAGCAAACTGACTTTCAATTTTTTAAAATCTTTAGTTATTTCTAAATATTCTTCACTTTTGAAGTGGGTAGCGGTATTTCTATGCATGTCCGATTTCGCTACCGTATATTAATTAAATAATTTAAAAACGATATGAATATAATAGACCATACTTAAACGATATTTACTGAAAACAATCATTGAAGCCATCCAAAAAGTAAGGACCACAATAGGTGAGAACAGCTGTGTACCAGATGATTGGTCATTAATTACTGTATATACACAGCCACAGGCGATAACGGGTGTTTTACAGGTGTAGATGACGACACGCTAATTACCGTATGAATATTTAAGTAATTTTTTGATAAGTTTTTGATAAAAATATGTACTTTGAAATAAGAAAAAAAATATACTTCCGAGTAACCAAGTACCATTTTTAGTATTCGATACTCGGACGTTCGATCGAGTACCCGGTTAACCGGGTACTCGTTGACATCCCTAGTAAGTCGATTAATTATTGGTTACTGACTAATGTATAAATACCAGAATATAATTGGGTTTCGTTTAACCAAAACTGTTTATTGCTCACCTCTTTGTATTATCCCCATGATTCCATTATGACAAAGTTCTACCAGACCAGTCTTCTCTATGTTAGGGAGACAGATATACTGATCATTACCATACTTGTCACGACCACAGCCCAGTCTTGTAGATGCATTTCTAATATCTGTAAGGTTTTGAGGACAAGACTCGACAATACCATCCATAGTTGCACAGGAAATGAAGTCGATAGAAACCTAATCGGAATATTAAATTTTAGATTATGCAATAATAACATAAAATACATATAAACTGCAATACTCTCTTTTATTAAAAGTTAAGTAATAAAAATAAAATCGATGAGGTCTTATGGGGATATCTCTTTTTAACAAAACTTTCTGCCTTAATATTTCCAATAGAAAAGCAAATAAGCAAAATGTCAAAACTTCTATAGCACGTATTGCCATAACAGGTTGGTTGTACCGATTGAAAAAGCGCTCAGTTTAGTATTTTGCATTCGCTTTGTCTTTAAAATGTTACATCATATGAACAAAAATTTTATAATTGATAATGCTTTAACAACCTGAAAATACTTGGACTACACTTCAACAGGACGTATGTTAAAAAGATGTGTAAAGCCCTAGGATGGCATAGGTACACAATATGACTAATATATAGTTACTGATAAATTTTTTTAACGAACATGTAAGTGAAATATAAAATAACTCTCATAATAATTGATGAATTTCGGCAATTTATTCTTTTTTTTCTGAGATTATAATGATTTCTAAGTATAACGCCTATATGTCTAAAAGTGTTCTTAATTTTGATATAAATAGTTTTTATATTCATCCCAGAAAACAATTCAATTTCAATTGGATAAAAATTCTTAGGTGACGTTTTCAGATATACTGAAATGATAATTTGTCTGTCATGTTATTGTTAAACACATATGAAGAAATGTTTAATTGTTTATTTAAGAATGTTTTCTGCATGGCATATATTATTGTTTAAATCTACGTTTCCAGAATAAGAGATTTTCAAGATAAAGATATGGGTATTAGTAATGACTGGTACTGACTTATTGTGTACTAGTTCTTGGAAAATTTATATTGAAATATTGAAAATAAGAGAACTAGAAATTAGGATTAATGAATAAGAACATTAACATATAGAGTTTGTTTTTATATAATTCAAGATTATATGTGAGATTCTTTTGTTCGCATTGACAGTGCGCGGAAATATATTATAATGTTCTACAGGCATGCTTGCGAAAATTTCTTAAGATGTGTCTTAAAACGTGTCTACGGATATTTCTAAGGACTATCTCAAGATACGACTTCCTTGGAATTTAAAATGAAAGCATCTTCTTAAGAATGGATGTCATTTACACTATACATAGTAAAATATTTTGATGAAACATAAAAGTACCTGTACTTACAAAATTATTTTTTTTTTTGGCACCATTGTGATAGATAAAAAAAAATATCAGAAAGAGGGAAGTTTCAGATTCCATTAGGTCAGAAAATGGAGGGGGGGGGGGGTACTCATGTCCTATCTTTTGATATTATAGTTATGTTAAAGATACTACGCCCTCCTATAATCCTCGCCAATAACCCAACCTTATACAAGGGAATTAAAAAACAAGGATTTTTATGTTAATTTTTAAAGGATTTAACTAAACCTACTTCAGAGAGTTTTTTTAACTGCTAGCTGTTAAATTATTAAACAATTTTGTTCCACTCCTGACTACCATAGAACACAAAAATTCATAAAGTGTTGGCAACATCAAGTGGAAACAAAATAGTGCAATATTTATAGTCCAATACTTCTTATTAAAACACATGAAATATTTTAATCTGGCACTATCTCTTGAATTATTCGCTATTTATTTAAAAAAAAAACTGGCTAAAATATATATTTAGAAAATAAAATATATTTTATAATATATTTTCCTTCACAGGAACCAAAAACATTCCAAAATAAAATTCAGAGAATGATATACTGATAAAAGTTTTTTTTATGCTGGGGAGCAAAACATCAAATGTTGCACTCCTGACATTATTTGGTATGCACAGATACTTGACTTTCATTAACTTAATTCTGCTTCTGATTTATATAACATTTTTAAGTCTAAAATTGTATATCAGTTATTGTTTTACGCTTTGAAAATTCTTTTTCACTTATGATAATTTCTTTCAGATTTTTAAAATTGATGTTTTTTTATTATTATTATTATTTATTTATTAATATTATTATTACTTTGCGACAGTACATCTTTTCTGTTGCATTCCTGACATGATAAATCATTTTTTTTCCAACCAACATTCTACATTTAAAGCTCAATACTTTGAAAATTATCAGGAAAGTCGCTATTTCAAACATAAACCATTATTATTTATTTCACATATTTTCCAAAATAAAAATAAATTGAATTTTCAAAATGTCACAAAAAGTGCTGCACTCCTGATATTTTTAACTTTTTGTGAATAGAGATATCATTGAGATACTTGAGAGTAAAGTAGACACAATCTAAAGACATATGCTGAGACATAGAAATGTATTCCCATTACCTCTTTTTTTAATGCAGGTTGATAAATATGTGTTTGGTCATATTCAAATTGAATTGCTTGAATTTTAAACTACCTGATGATGCTTCCATGTCAATATAACAAATGGCTATGTTGTACTTCAGAAGTTTCAAAAAGAAATTCCCATATATTCCTTTGTAAAAATTAAATACCCCATTGTGGCTTCTCCCTATCCCAGTAGTCACCATTTGAACAAACTTGAATCTACACTACCTGAGGATGCTTTCATATCAATATGACTAAACATAGCTTTTCTGTTCTTGAGAAGAATTTTTTTCTATAAGTTCTTATGTAAAACTTTCAATCCCCCATTGTGGCCCCACCCTACCCTCGGGGGTCATCATTTGAACAAACTTGAATCTTCACTACCTGAGGATGCTTCCATATCAAAATGACTAATCATGGCTTCGCAGTTCATCAGAAGACATTTTCCTATATATTTCTATGGAAGACTTTGATCCTCCATTGTGGCCCCACCCTATCCCTGGTGGGTCATCGTTTGAACAAAATAAAATCTACACCCTGAGGATGCTTCCACATAAATATGACCAATAACGGCTTTGCTGTTCCTGAGAAGGAGATTTTTAAAAATTTTCCTATATATTTCTATGTAAGACTTTGATCCTCCATTGTGGCCCCACCCTATCCCCGGGGATCATCATTTGAATAAAACAGAATCTACACCCTGAGGATGCTTCCACATAAATATGACCAATCAGGGCTTTGCTGTTCCTGAGAAGAAGATTTTTAAAATTTTTCCTATATATTTCTATGTTAGACTTTGATCCTTCATTGTGACACCACCCTACCCCTGGGGGGACATCATTTGAACAAATTAGAATCTACACCCTGAGGATGCTTCCACATATATGACCAATCAGGGCTTTGCTGTTCCTGAGAAGAAGATTTTTAAAGATTTTCCCATATATTTCTATGTAAAACTTTGATCCTCCATTGTGGCCCCACCCTACCCCCGGGGGTCATGATTTGAATAAACTTGAATCTACACTACCTTAGAATGTTTCCACGTGAGTTTCATCTTTCCTGGTCCTGTGGTTCTTGAGAAGAAGCTTTTTAAAATGATGCTATTAATTTTTCACTAATTCTTACTCATCTCCCCTTGAAAGAGGGCGTGGCCCTTTGAACAAACTTGAACCCTCTTCACCCAAGGATGCTTTGTGGCAAGATTGGTTGAAATTGGCCCAGTGGTTCTAGAGGAGAAGTCGAAAATGTGAAAAGTTTACAGATGGACGGACAGACGGACTACAGACAAAATGTGATCAGAAAAGCTAACTTGAGCTTTCAGCTCAGGTGAGCTAAAAAAAAACTACAAATTTTGGGACGCATTTGATTGACACTTATCCTTGCATTTTCACTAAGTAAATTTATGAAATGTTGTGAATTTGTTGTGTATTAATGAACAATGTTAAAACTATAATCCAAAAAATTCAGATTAGAAAAGTGAAAAAGCACATCTGATCAGACTGTGTCAAGTGATTTGTGTAGAATAAACAAGTTGAACACATCCGGTAAAAAAAACCGTTAACTATTTGACAGAGGTCATGCCCATGTTTACAAACACAGATGTTTAACGTGAGTTTATCAAGAATGTCCTTGTTATTGAATTTTAAGCATGTTCATTTAAGTTTAACATATTAAACTGAAGTTGTTGTTTTTTTTTTTTTTTTTTTTTTTTTTTTTTTTTTTTTCTCCTTTTTCCAAAATTGTAAATAAAACGGCAATGCAACAGTGTCCATATGTTAAATTTTATTGTGAGATAAAACATTATTGATCTTTTTATTTACCATATAAAATTTTCTTTTTATCATGATTAGACATAATATTCATTTCTGAAAAAGTCAGCAACGCTTCATGCTTCAAACTATTTTTCATTTGAATCAAATGCTATTGTTGTTAACGAAAATCACATTGTTGGGAATTTTAAAAAAAATGGTGATATTTGGAGCAGAGGGATATTTCACCTTAAAACGAAACTAGATTTTTTTTTATTATCCTAAAAATGTCACTCTTTCAGATAAAAATATCTGATCCGTTTAATACTTTACCTCATGTAATAATCTCTCTATATCTCCGAAATCAGGTACACTAGTTATCCATCATTTGACGGATAATTAATGCTTCCTACAACTTTTATGGCACCCTTCAGTGACCTTCACCTTTTTTAAATACCTGTACTTTATATATAGTGCACACGTGTTTAAATGTTTTAAATTCCTTTGACGTATTTTCTGACTATTATAAAAGTGTTTGTTTTTTTCGGGAGGAGGGGGGGGGGGGTCTTCCTCAAGTTTGTTATAAGTAAACACTAGTTTTACAAGGATTTACTACCGTAATTTTTTTTTCTTCTTAAGTATATCCGATACTCAGCTGTATATAGGAACGATAAATCTTAAATCTATTATTTAATTTAAAAAGTCTCAAAATGAAGCTTAAAATTGAAATATATTTTTTTGCAACAATTTTCATTTTATGCATCTCCATATGATTCAAAGTTCTTTGAAGTCTTAGAAATGGTATTGTAAAAAGTTGACATTTGTACCCCATAAAAGTAGAAAAAAAAATTTAAGAGAAATTGGATTTCTTTTAATCTAGCATAAGGTACCAATGCTTATTAGCATGATATGAAGTTAGAAGTGATATT